CCGACGACGATCTGGATGCCGACAATGATGATCTGGATGCCGACAATGATGATCTGGATGCCGACGACGAGCTGGCTGCCGACGACGAGCTGGCTGCCGACGGTGATCTGGTTGCCTATGCGGCCCCTACCCATCGATTTGCCGAGATGTTGGCGGCCCGTCTGCATGGTACCTGCCCAACCGATGTTCGACAGGTCAAGGTTGCATAAGTTACTCCCATCGTCTTTCCTTGCAGACTTCGATACCTTGGGTTTACTTGTACATTATCTTCACTTGTTGTGGTAGTGCCTGAAGGAAGTAGTTCCTATCGGAGCGTGTGACGCACTGTATCAACGAGGTACACTGGTAATATAAGAACCAATGGAGATTTACATTTCAAACATATCCTCTATACTGATACCATTAATCTTTATCGCTCCGTCTCCTGCGACTGAGGGTGCCCCTATCAGCCCTTCTCGTTTCTGTCAGTGGTTTATCACGGCCTGCCCGTCGGCATGGACAGGCGCATCATACGCTAGGATGTCGTGCGACCAATGTAGCCGCTTAGGTCAATATTCGCGCATGCCAAGGTCTCGTGCGGGACTTACGTTTGTAGTACTGAAGATCGACGATGTTAATGAGACTAAGCACGAACACGCACACCCTCGTGAGAGTATGGACATTGTCAAAATCATAGTAGCCATGAGTTTCCCTGAGCTCCTTGGTCAGGCAGTAGGACAGCACATAAGACTTACTCTGCACCTTCATCTCCATGCCACCTGCGACATCCTGATTCTCTTCTCCGATACACTTGTCTTTCTCGGGAGTGGTGCCGGGAGCGCCCTCGTTGGCAGCCTCCATCGTATCTGCCTTCGGCCCCGTCAAAGTCGAGCCCAGGCAAGCTGTTCGCTAGCACCTGCAAGTGCCTGGCCAGCATCTTCCGCGCCAGCCCGGACCAGGCCTTTGGTCGCCATCGATAGCAGCATAGACAGAGGTGACACGTAGAAGAAAAAGTTTCGGCGATCTCGGTACCCCTTCATCGGTTGCAGTGCGCGCTGCTCGATCTGGAAAGGGCAGACACGCGCGCGCGCCGGCGGGCGCGACGCGGTCGAGGGTGCCACAAGTGCAGCCGGGACGTCTGGCACTCCCCCGCGTTGCCCGTTCGGGCAGGTGCATCTGCCTTGCGAGGCGGCATGACCAGATGAGGGGCGCGGCAATTGCGAATTTAGGTGGTGCTGCCGGCGACGAGAATCGTCTGTGCCCCTGTCCTTAAAAGTCAGGTGGCATAGGCAGACGTCTGCTCCCGCCTAGGCCAGCTCAGCTTCCTGCTATTTCTCAGCTCGATTCCACAATGGCAACGTCGTATGAGCCACAGCCCCTTCCTAGCGACTTCACCCACCAGTCGCCAACCATCGTCAGAGCAATGAATAAATGTAGACAAGCGGAAGCAATCATCATGCACGACCTGGAGAATAACACCGCTAGCGCAGCCTTTGTGCTGGAGAAGAAGCTCGTCAACGTGCGAATATTAGGGCACCTCCTGATCGTTGGGCCCACCAGTGCTGCTCAAGATTACATCGCCCAAATGATCAACTCTTGTCAAGACGAGCAAGCACTTGTCGAACTGGGCGAATTCTACGACAAATACTTGATCCGCGCTTGTAAGTCTTACCCAACTGCCGTCAGAGCCATCTTCTCATCCTCCGTAGTCGCTACATACAGCATTGACATGGACCCTTCGCCTCTTCATCTCTATCGGGACATATATGCTATTACCGAAGGTTCAAGCTTGCGGCAGCCAATGGACCAGAGTCGTTACCGGGCGAAGTCCCTTGTGGGTTCCACCATTACAAAGCAAACCACTCTCTCATTCTTGTTAGGCCCTTATGCGCGACAACTATCGCTGCATGTTGACCGGTCGAATTGATATCATGGCCGCGCTCCACGTGGAGGCACTGAGCCGCGAATTGAACGACGACAGAACTCAGCTTGAGGCAACGCGCTGCGCATATATATTCCCCGAATTTCTCGCTGCTGATGCTGACAGTGATGCGGAGGTATGTAGAGTTTGGAACATCGCAATATTCATTTTGGTCTGATTCCTGTCTCCTCAGCGTCAGGACATAGCCAAAGTATGGGACGTCATCAAGGGTTTCGGCTACTCCAAGATTCAGGGAGAGCTGAAGGGCCTTCAAGTCCATTCCCTGCGCAACATACTCACTCTGGAGGTCACCATGCACTCGCTCTTTGAGGATCCCAAGCTATGGTTCGTCCCGACTGTGAGTAGTTGAAGCCATTCGCCGTCGAAGGCTTCCTTACCAGCGTCTCATCAGGAGACACCGAATCGCTATGTTGTCGAGGCATCGATGCCTGGACTTTTCGAGTGCGGAATGATTCCGCGCACCATCGAGTTCAAGACCACTGAGTCTGACCTCGAGTTGCCGTCTGGGGAGTATTTAAACATTCACGCCACTTGTTGTCGGGTATACCATTTGTCAGGTGCTGCGGAGTACTTTGACAAGCTGTATGACAATGATGATCTGGCTGTGGACGAGGAATAGGCCACCTGTGCAGACCCGAATTCGCCGAGGGTGTTATGACAGAGGGTTCTTTGCAAGCCTGAAGCTTGTCTGATCGCCTTATCTGCAGA